GCGCGAAGTCGTGCGCGCACAGGGCCCTAGCAAAAAAAACCCTAAACCCCAGACTCTAAACCACTAGACCCTCAACTCCTCAAACCTGAACCCTAAAACCCCTACATCCCTCAGCCGAAGTGCCAGGGAAGAGAAGAAATTCCAGCGGCATGGAATCCTGGCTGTGTCCGATGTAGCGCTTCATTGTGGCGTTCAGAGCTCCCGGCAAAGTCCTCTTATGGTAGGGTTTAGGGTTTAGGTTTTAGGGTTTATGGTTCCTGCAAGGGTTCCCATGAGGGTTTTTTGCCAGATGTTCGGGTTCAAGGGCATAGGATGCTTACTATCAGGGTTTAGGGTTCAAGCGCTTTACGGTTTTTGGGTGGTTTAGATTTCAGGGTTGTGGGGTATACGGCTTGCGCTTAGGAGTTAGGGTGTAAGTCATGTTGCTGGTTGCACCACTGTGTCTGTGTGCATGTTTGTTCAGAGCATTTTCGGCGGTTCTCAAACTGAAGAGCTGCGCATTCAAGGTCTACATCGGGGTCCTCTCTTTGCTGCCGCATGCTCCGACCCTACGCCGCTAAACCCGAAAATCCTCATAGTGTCAAAGTGCCCTGAAATTACCCGTCTTGGGAACTCTTGCAGAACCCTTACAAGAACTGCCCTTAAGCTCGATAGTCGAAAACCCTGAACTCCCGAAAGCCCACCCAAACCCAAAACTCTAAGCCCTGAACCTGAACCCTCAACCCCCGATTATAAACCCTTAACCCTAAACCCTAACTCCTAAAACCCTAAACCCCAAGCCCCTTAAAGCTTGCAGGAAGCAAGAGCCGCGTCTTCCTCGATGCTGAAGAGATGAAAGCGAAGGTCAAAGAGGCTCTGGCCAGACCTTCGTACAATGCAACTTGTCTGCGGTAATATAGGGTTTAGGGTTTAGGGTTTAGGGCTTAGGGTTTAGGGTTTAGGGTTTAGGGGTTAGGGTTTAGGGTTTAGGGTTTAGGGGTTAGGGCTTGGCATTTACCCATAGGCCCCTAAGTAGTTCCTTTTTATTGTTTATTTTTTGAATCCATTAAGGTAATCCCAAAAAGGAACTACTTAGGGGCCTATGGGTAGGGTTTAGGGTTTTGAAAAGATACCAATATGGCTCCTTGAGCTCCTTCTTTATTGGTCATAGGTTTATGCTCTATCAGACCTTCGTGCATTGCGGCCTGTCAGCTGTAACACAGGGTCCTTATTGTATCTGCACTAAGATATGCCCCGAGACTCGAGTCTGATCAGCTAAGGTTCTGGGTTCAGCGGATAGAGTCCAGGAGTAGGGACAGACTTACTAAGCCCCCCGAACCCCAAACTCTAAGGAAAATACACGCGCGCAGATATTCACACATAGAGTTGTGACTGATGGATTTCTTGAAGGGTCTCCAAGAATAGCCCCAGCGGATTCCTCGAGAAGTGCGAGTACTGCTGATGCCCAAAAGCCTGCACTGTCCATATTCAGTATGATAGCCTAACTGCTACAGTTCAGGGGCTTGAAGGTACCTTATCCCTAAGGGTCCAAAGGACCTAATAATTAGGTACTTGGTTTACGGATAGTAGTTTTGTAGGTTAGTATTTGGGAGAGTATATGATTATTATGTACTCGGACCCTTAGGGAATCCCAGCCAGGACAAAAACCCATGTCCTAAACCTTCAAGCCAAACCCCTCAGAACCCTGAAACCCCTAAACCCTGAAAGAGAGCCCGGCAAGGGACCCTCCAGGACCCCTAAACTCTTGAATCCTAAACGACGGTTGATGATATAAATCCTGCATTGCCCATAATTAGCAAAAAACCCCATAATTCCCATAGTTTAGGGTCCTTAAGGTATTCTAGGGTTTGTATCATCAACCATAGGAGTGCCCCTCAAAAGTACCAATTTTTCGGGCTTTCTTGGTTCGAGGGCTTTTAAAGGGCGCAGGGGGCCTGTGATGCAGTTGGACCATGGCCTGTACCCAGTGTTTTCCTTCACTTTTCAGCTGTTCGACGCGGTATTTCCGACGTTTCTGTTGTTCGGAGCTCTTCGGATTTTCAGGGCTTTCAACAGGGGCGCCTATGGTGCACGCACCATGTAGTTCGCGTTGAACCTTTTCCCTGAGGGTCCAAGTACCCAAATAGTAGGGTTTCAAGGTCCAAAAACCATTCAGGGTATGGATTTTCAGACCTAAAACCTTGATATTTGGGTACTCGGACCCTCAGGGTTAGGGTTTAGGGTTTAGGGTTGAAATTTTTACGTGGCTTCTCTTTACCGTGGATCCCAGAATTCGGAAATCCTCCAGCTCTATAAGGCAAGACTCTAAACTCTAGATCGCAGGGTCCTTGACCCTAGAGAGGAGGAAATCTTAAACCCCCAAACTCAGGGTCAGACACAAATCCTAAACCCTAAACCCTGGAGCCTAAACCCCAAACTTTAAACCCTAAACCCAAAAGCCTTGACGGTAAACCATCTAAACCCTTAACCCCAAACCCCATCCCCGAGGGTCGGGGACTTAGTAAGTACTAGTCGCTATCTTCAAGAGGTATAAGGACGATAACCCCGATTCGGATCCTACTGAAGGCACTTATCAACTCTATTTACCTACTTACCCTAAACCCTAAACCCTAAACCCTACTTGCTAAGTCCCCCAAGCCCTCCAAGAAGGGCCTCCTAAACCCCAAGCCCCAAACCCAAGAGCTTTGGGTTTAGGGTTTAGGGTTTAGGGGTTTAGGGTTTAGGGTTTGGGGTTTAGAGTTTAGGGTTTAGGGTTTAAGGTTTAGGCACTGAAGAGGAGATTTTAAAAGCTGAGGTTTTTGATTTTTACCATCGGAGCCTTGGGCAGGGAACAGCATCATTGGCATGCGGACTCTGCAGTTTTAGGTTCTTGGGCCTTGAGTTTAGGGTGTAGGGTTTAGGGTTCTTGTGACAGCAGTCAGGGCTAGCTGTGAGGGCTCAGGGTAGCAGGATTATGTGTTCTTCAGCTTAATTAAGAGTTTTGGGACTTCAGGGTTTGCAAGGTTTCACGCTTCAGGATTTCATGAACTCGGGATTGTTTGTCCTGAGTCTTGCCATGCACAAACGTGTCGGGATACTGTGGAAGTTCTAATGTAGTTCAGAAGTATATAGCAGAGTAGCAAAAGCTGCAGCGCAACACAATCATCACGAGCAGCAACAAGGTGCATACTCACAGCCGTGGTACTTGTAGAACTTATGGTAGCAATACTGATGAGACTGTTGTAGCAGTACTGGTAAATCAGAGTGATGGCAGCATATGCGAGATATCAACAGTAAGTCTAATGATGCTGTACCAACCGCCGCAGTGACTGCAACACCGGTACTGCTAGCATGCTCATGTCGGGCGACGACGACGAGGACGGTGACTATGATCACCAGACACTACTGCCGGTGCTGCAACTGTTGGTGCCACGGCTGCGACTATGCCAGTTCCTGCTGATTTTGCTACTGTAACTCTGCAACTGCTACTATGCCGGCTACAACTACGACTGCTTCCCTCGTGAGCGATTGCAGCGATGACGACGGCTGCGCTACGGACACTAACTGAAATGAAAAATACTGACAATGACAAATAGTCGTAGCGATCAGTTACATGACAGTAAATGACAACAGGTGCACTCCCCTAAACCCTTAACCCTAAACCCAAAGCCCGAAACCCTAAACCCTAAACGCAAAGCCCTAAACCCTAAACCCTAAACGCAAAACCCAAAGCCCTAAACCCTAAACCCTAATCCCTAACGCAAGCTCTCCCTTCGGCAGGAAGGGATTCTTTCAATGGGTGGCCAAGTCCAATGCTTTCGAGACGGTGACATTGGTCGTCATAGGCCATTTCTCTTCAACTTTCCGCAAGCTAAGATGCTTTGTGCTAGCACAAATTCCCGGACCTTGTGGTCGAAACCCTAAGCACCCTAAGCCCTAAACCCAAATTAAGCCCTAACCTCTAAACCCTAAGCCCGAAACACCCTAAACCCTAAACCCTAAGCTTCAGTCTACACAGAGTGAACTTGAACCCTAAGCCGGAAACCCTCAACCCCACGCAAACCTTGCCCCACGAGCTGGCTGTGCCGGGATTTTGGTGCACAGACTCTTCCTTTATCATCCGATTTTTGGAGTGTCTGTGTTACGATGGGGTTTAGGTTTAGGATTTAGGGTTTAGGATGTTGCTTGCTTTGCTATGGATTCCGAATGTCTCGTAGATCTATGTCCCAGACGACATCCTTAAGGGAGGAGGCCGCAACGCGGGGGTATCTAGCCTAAGTAATCCCTGATCCTCCCTGTGCTCCCGAAGGTTCTCAGCAGGTTTTCTATTGATCCCCCCTAAAACCCCAAATACGATCCTGTAAACCTAAGGGTTCGGGCATGTGTCCAAGCGGGTTCAGGTTTTAGGGTTCAGGGTTTTAGGGTTTAGGGTTTTAGGGTTTAGGGTTCAGGATGACCCATAAGAATTTCCACGATACAACCTTCATACTTAAATCGCCCCCTTGGTTGATGTTCACGGATTCTGCGCGTGTACAGGTCAGAACCCTAAACCCTAAACCCTAAACCCTAAACGAATCGAGCTACTCCTGGAGCTTTAGTAAATTTAGCAGTTAGAACAGGGTTTGGGGCATACGGTTGATGATATAAATCCTGCACTACCCATAATTAGGAATATACCATAATTCCCATAGTTTAGGGTCCTTAAGGTAATGCAGGGTTTACATCATCAACGGTATTACATCACAAGTACACGTATCAGAAAAAGGACTGCTGATGGGCTGCCGTTACAAATGATTCCGAACCCTGTAGTAGACAGCCAAAGCCTGAACTTTGATGCAGGTATCAATGCGCTCTGGCTCGCCCACGACACAAACAGCAACCAAAGCGAATCATTGCTCTCTGCGCGGATTGACTTCCAAGTCGCAGAGATTGCCGCTGGTCTACACTGTCTGAAACGCATAAGCGCATCCATATAAAGCCTTCGAAGACAGACATATTTTTGGATCGTTCTTGTCGGAGCAGTTCAAAGGTTGACCTAAACCACATAATGCCTAAATTCCAAAGCTCAGTTCTTTTGCACGTACTATGCCATCGAGCTCTTCGTGCGCTTCATGGCATTCAGGCGCAAGACTCTCGGCACGAAAAGATGCTGCTACGGGCTACGGGCACCCGCCTCTCTAAGCCCTCCAAAGTGTAACGGCCACCCCAAACTCCGAATTGGAGGAATGGGTTTAAATAGGCGTAAGTTCGGGGTTTAGGTTGAACTTGGACGCTTGTTTGACTTAGTCAGTCTACATAGTATCCCCATAGCATCAAGACTCGTTCCTAGAAGCCCATCTGTCAAACACCTGTCCAACCCTACTAGCTAAGACGAAATGCCCTCAACACCATTCTATGCCAAACGCTTATGAATCCAGTTGTCAAACCTTCACAGCATCCTGTGCATCACATAGAAAGTACTGGAGAAAGCCAGAAACCAATAACACCTCACATAAAGACCTCATGCGCGAGGCCCCTAAATTCTCAGGCCCCAAACCCAAAACCCTAAACCTTAAACCTTAGGCCCTACTTTAGGGTTTAGGGTTTAGGGTGGTCCAAAAACCCAAAACCCTAAACCTTAAACCTTAACCCCCCATTAGGGTTTAGGGTTTAGGGTAGTCGGTTCACACACAGAACATAGAACCCTCATATGGGGTAGTTGTCTAAACGAGGGCACCCTTTTAGGGCCCTTTAAGGGGTCCTATTTTGGGGACGTAGGCAGGGACCTTAGTTTAGAAAATATCCGTATAAACAGAAGAACCTTCATACATTCCCACTATGAGTAGGCCCCTTTTCAAACGGGGGTTGGGGCTTGGCTTCTATCCTTAATATAAAGACCCCAAAATAAGGTACCCTAACTTTCGGAAAGTCCCAAATGCCGCTAAGTGGTTCATCGGGCAATATGGGTAGTTATCGAAATTATCTATAGGGCCCCCCTTAACCCCAAAAGAGACCCGAATTTAGAGAACTACCCATATAAGCCCCCAAACTGCCATGACCCATATTTGGTAGGCTCTTGTTACAAACTCCTAGTATGGACGTTAAAAGGGGCCGTCCTAGGTTAGTTTGAAGAGGGCCTTCACATGGCTTTATCTCAGACTCAGCATCTTGGATTTTAGGGTTTTGGATTCTAAACCCGTAAACCCCTAAACCCCTATACCCTAAACCCCTCAAGCTCTAAGCCCTAAACAGGGCTGCAATAGCAAGCCGGGTTACGAGAATAGAGGCCCCT